CTCAAATGCAATCCCATTGATCTCTGTAGAAGCAATTAAAATAAGATCATCTCAGCAAAGTAAAATCTTTTAATTATTTTTAATTTCTGTAACTAGGCATATATACCAGTGATGAATACTGAGATTCAAGTGAACGTGTGTGGTAGAATTATTCAAATATAAAAATTCTTTGAAAGGACACTATCGTTTTACAGATTTATAAATATTAAACTATTTTAAATAAAATGATTTTGCAGCACTATTAACTTTCTGCCTTCATATGGAAGAAATTAGGAACATATACACATGTTTCTGATGACTCAATGTGATCAGCAATTACTGTCCTATACTAAATATAGTGAGGTGTAACTACTACCTCCTTCATCAATGTCACAGTCAACTGTAAGCCATTACTTCCCCTGCTGTCACTGCATCTGGCTCTAAAATCTCCACCATATTATAATTTTTACTCCTGTTTCCTTGAAAAAATAGGCATATAAAATATGTGTATTAAATAATTATGATCACATCACAAAATGATTTGGTTAAAATAAGTTGCTAAATTCTCGTATATAATGTGTTATTTTAATTATTGTAAAACACTATATATATGTAATAATAATATTTCAGCCAACGAAAGACATTATGTTTAAAATTGATATTTTTTTACTAGGGCATAAAAAATGTTTAAATGAAACAACATTAAATATTAAACAAAATGGAATATATATTTTATATTTTTATTTAGATTTTTCCTGTGTTCATTGGATATTCATAGATATAGAGATAGATCTAGAAAAAGACCCTGTTTTAGATTTTACTTTGAACATGATAATTAATATTTAATCTAATAAATATATTTGTTGCTTCAAAATTATTTCAGTTTTCATAAAGAATTAATCAGAAGATATGCTATTTTTTGTTTTTATTAGCTTAGCTATATGAAAGTGAGTAATTTTTAGTACAAAGTCACAACACATATGGTGTTCGAATGGTGGTCATTTATTAAAGAAACAAGTATAAGAGAATATAAAGTAGCCTCTAAAATCTTTATTTTATAAACCCTTATCTTCTACAAATAGATTGCTTAATCAAACAGCAATACCAAACAATAGGCTATTAATGAATTCAAATGTATCTTCAAAGAATGCATAGACATTCAATTTATGTAATACCTAATACATCTATCACGTGGGAAATTTGTTTAAACTGTATATTATATAATAGATATACATAAATCATAAATTCCTCCCACAAAGTGGGAAAACAAAAGAATAACAAACTAAAATGTAACCTAATTGCAAGAAATGCCAATACGCAAGCATAAATAACATGATATATCTATGTAAGAAAAAAATAAGTCCCTATGCTAGAGCAGTCCTCATCTAGAAAAAATTTTGTACAAAAAATTTTTCCCCAACATTATGAGAATTTGGCAATGTCTGAAGATATGATATTTTTCATGTTTATAATGTTGGTAAGTTATGTTATGACATACAGATTATAGAAGCCAGAGATTCCATTAAGTATGCCATAATTCATAAAATAGCCATACAGCAGTGAAATATCTTGCACAAATATAAGTAGTTCTAAACTTGAGAAATTCTGATTTAAAAATTGTTAAAAGCCTAACCTTAGAAATCATAGGATAACTAGAACGTATTGGATAGTTTACTCTTGAAAAATATGTAATTTTTCAAAAGGCAAAATTTATTTAGACAAAAAATGATGTGAGTATTTTGTTTCAGCAAAATCCTTTATTTATAAAACTATTTATGGAATAATTTATGGGTATTTGACCAATGTAATATCTTTTCTATGCAAGGGACAGTGGAAGACATTTCAACGATTCATATAACATAGTTGTATGTAATATGTGTTTCAATGGTAGAAACCTGGAATTACTTTGTAATTGTGTTTCACAAAATAAGTCTTCTTATTGTTTTGTTGCTTAGTTTTCTTCTAAAGCATTTGCATGTGTATCTACTGACTTTTCCCCAAAATAGTAAATATAAGGTTCTTTCTACTTGTAGGTATATCAAATTTACTTTTGGGGTGAAGCGAAACACACACATGGTGCTCAGGACTTACTCATGACTGCTCAGGATCACTCCTGTCATCATTTAGGGGACCTCTGTGTCTCCTGGAATTGAACTCCTGTTTGTTCCACACATGCAACTTAATTCCTGTACTCTTCTACCATTACAGTAGTCTTCTTATAAACAGGACTGCAACAGATATACTACATAATTCTGAAACTATTTCCCAAGGGGACTAAGATAATTGCAAAATTGTTCAAACAGAAATTCTTGCAAAAGTCGAGGCAGATTATTATAAATAGTAGATACTATAAATAGGGAAGGGAGAATAAGAATGTAGAAAGACGTATTCACGATTTTTAAAGACAGATTTAATACTCTTGCTGTTAAGACTGTGTGAAGTTTGAAGGCAACCCGAATGTTTCAAGCCAGTGTTTGATGATGATGTAATAGTTTTATTAAGCATCTGGGCAGCAAATTTCTCAGGCATTTTGTCAAGCCTTATTCCAGGTGTTTATGTGAGAATGTTTCTGAGAAGAGTAAGATATGACACAGAGGGCTGTGTAAGCAGATTGTCCTCTCTAATGTGGACAAGCCCCATTTATTAGGTGAAGTGTTAAATAAAACAAAAAAATCTTATCCCCATGTAATTTAAAAATATATATATATTTCTCTTACTAAGAGCTTTTCAGCTAGAACACAGATCTCCCTACTTTTGGATTAAACTCAAACATATTCATGGATCAGTACTATGTCTTTGAACTGGAACCGCACCATCTGTACATCCTGCTCTCTCAGCAACAGATCTTAGAATTGTTTAGTCTCCATAGCACAGCGGTAGAGTCTTGGCCTTGCACAAGGCTAGCCTGGCAGACCCGAGTTTGATTCCTCTGCCCCTCTTGGAGGGCCAGGCAAGCTACTGAGACTATCTCGCCCGCATGGCAAAGCTAGCAAGCTACCCGTGACATATTTGATATGCCAAACACAGTAACAGCAAATCTCACAACGGAGATGTTACTGGACCTGCTTGAGCAAATTCATGAACAACGGGAGGACAGTGTTACAGTGCTACAATCGTTTCACAGGGTTCTCTGGAGAATCATGACTAACACAAGTATAAGAAAATAATGTATTATTGTTAGAATGTCTTTGCCTTCATTTGCTCTTATATTACTTGTTTTTAAAATGAGCTGGATACCTAAGCTAATAACCCAAAGCTAGTAATTCTAATTATTACTTTAGGCAACTTTTGGCAACCTTTGAACTCAATTCTCAAGGACAGTGGCAGATTTGCTCTTTATGACGCTATTGAAATATCTTGAAAATTATTGGATTCTTAATTTTGAGTGTCATAACATTCTACGCAATTCGATGATATATTACTTGCATTGCATGTATAAGGCTATAGTTTCAATTCCCAATTCCCAAACAGTAATTATAATTATATTAGAAAATCCTATTTTCTAAAGAATTCTCAAATGTCCCCAGCAATGTTGGTACTACAATCGCATACACAAATCATTTGTACCACAGGTCTTATAATTGGCATATTATTTTGATCAAATTTTACTGTTTTTATTTTCTATACTAATTTATCATTATGAAAGAACTAAATTTTTTGGATAGTCCTTATATAGTTCATTTATATTGAATAACTGTGTACTTATTTCCAATTAAAAATCTACAGTCTTAAAAGAATAACCAAATATATTACTGAAAACCAAATATGAGTAAATACATGACCAACAGTTTTGCCTTTCAAAATATTGACGATGGGAATTTTTAGAATAACAGATTTATTGTTTTAAAATTTCAGGCAGAAATAAATTGATTTTAATGTACATATTTTTGGCTATGATAGAATAACTATAACATAAATGACTAATATTTAAAAAATGACAAAATAAAGACAAAATTTTAGCTGTACTAATAAATATAGGTACTGTGATATTTATAAGTCGATTTACAGATAATTAATACACAAATATTTTATATTATGACTGTAATATTTGAAATATATACAATATATGTTGTGCTGGAGTGATAGCACAGCAGGTAGGGCGTTTGCCCTGCATGCGGCTGATCTGGCCGACCCAGGTTCTATTCCTCCGTCCCTCTCGGAGATCCTGGCAAGCTACTGAGAGTATCTTGCCTACATGGCAAAGCCTGGCAAACTACCCGTGATGTTTTCGATATGCCGAGCACAATAACAAGTGTCACAATGGAGACATTACTGGGCCCACTCAAGCGAACAATGGAAGAACAGTAACAGTGACTGTGAAAGTATGTGTTATAATCATAACAATATCACTAATATTATAGCATGTAATATGTAGTGAAATATTATTCTATTTCATAGTAACATATTGTTATGCTATAAAAATATAGTTTTATGTACACAATCATGGTCACGCTACTCCCATTGTTCAACGATTTGCTCGAGCTGGCCCAGTAATGTCTCCTTCGTGAGACTTGTTACTGTGTTTGGCATATTGAATATGTCACGGGTAGCTTGACAGGCTCTGCCGTGCGGGTGAGATACTCTCGGTAGCTTGCTGGGCTCTCTGAGAGGGGCGGAGGAATCGAACTCGGGTCAGCCATTTTGGCTGCGTGCAAGGCAAACGCCCTACCTGCTGTGCTACCACTCCAGCCCATGTAGACAATATTTCCCCAAATATATAATATTTTTCAAACATTTTTCATTTAAAATTATATATCCACGATCACGATCACGATCACAACCATCCTGTTATTCGTCAATTGTCTCGAGCAGGCCCCAGTAGTGTCTTGTTTGTCCTAGCCCTGAGGATATTCAAGGCTCTTTCAGAGTTAGGAGAACGACACCCATCATTGTTACTGGTATTTGACATATTGGGTATTCCATGGGGAGTTTGCCAGACTCTGCCATGTGGGCTGGTTACATTCGGTAGCCTGCCAGTTTGTCCAAAGTAGGAATGAGATAATAAGATGCCGCGCCCACGAATGCTTCACTTCGGGAGCACATATACTAAAATTGGAACAATACAGAGAAGATTAGCATGGTCCCTGCACAAGGATGACATGCAAAATTATATATCCATTACATAAATATGTACTTGTGCACTCTACTATACCCTTTAGGTCCAAATAAATTTTCATTTTTGTCACACAAACAAATTTTGAGAACAATTATTCAGATTAATTCTTATTAAAAACACTTTAAAATATTTTAAAAAAACCTGGTGATCAGTAAACCAATTTGTTTTTAAACAAATTAAGTATGTCATGAATGCCACACAGCAGAGTCTGGCAAACTTCCCGTCGCACACCCAATATGCCAAATACCAGTAACAATGATGGGTCGCATTCTCCTAAACTTGAAAGAGCCTTGAATATGGCACTTTTTAAAATCTCAGGGCTAGGGCAAAGGAGACATTACTGGTACCTGCTCAAGGCAGTTGATGAACAACAGGATGGTCGTGATCATGATCGTGATGAATAATTTCAATTTTCTCCTATCATTAACCCTTTTTACTTGTACTACTAAGTTTTTTTTAACAATTTTTTCTCTCATACCTATTCTTTAGTCAGTCAATTTGCCTAGTCAGCGTTATAAATTTAAATAAACACTATACATATACCCATATACTCCTAAATTTAGAGATAGGTTTCCCTTGACTCAATTAATTTCCTAGAGTAATATTGAATAGTATCACACGAGATACTTCAGACTATCATGAATCAATGCCATGAAGTATAAGATTGGTGAAGATGTCCGTAAATTTCACGTAAGGCATTAGTTTCTCTGTATATAATCATTACATGCACTAAATTAGGCGTCTCATCAATCTATTTCTCAAGCATCTAAATGGGACTAAAATGATCAAATTTATAATATTAATTTCCTTTAAGGAAGCAAATTTATATAAATTTTTGGTTAATCTTTGTAAAAAAAATTACCAGTAACCCACCCTAAGCCAAATAGACTACAAGGAAAATATTGTAGATCAGTAATGTTAGTAGAAACTGGTTTGTATTTAGAGTGTTTCAGCTAGTAGATATTGTTTCATATTTAGAGATGTCTCAGTATTTTATTTCCTCTAGCCACAGGCATCATTGTTTGATATTTCAAGTAGAAACTTGCAGACGTTAGTCTTCATATTTTTGTTTTGTTTGTTCTCTTTTTAGAATTTTCACCAAGAGAGCATTTGACAGGAAGTGACATTAACACTGGTGAGTAGTGATAAAACTTTTTTTTTTTGACTTGGTGAGTTTTTGTAGTTTGAAAATTCCTTTTTCCCTCAAGATAGGTACGGGAGTCCATTCAAAGAGTTTATCAGAAGTTTCCTGTGGTGAAATTAATGCTTGTTGAAGCCTGCAGCCCTACCGTTGACTCCCCTGTAGTTTTTGAGAATAAAACAGAACATTTTTCCTGAGCTCTGTATCTTAAGTCACTTTTTGGGACGTTTTGTTAGTGGGTCATGTGGGTGTTGCTCAGGGCTCTCAGCTGAAACCAGAAGTCAGACGTGGACTTTGAAATTTAACAACAGTAATTTAAAAATTTTTTTTAAAAAAGTACCAATAAATCCCACTTCAATACCCTCTGCATTTCACAAACTGAGAATAAACACCTGATTTTTGACTTTCTGGATCTTCTACTACTGCTGTCAATGAATAAATAACATTCTCAACTGAAGTTTCTCCCATCTATCCCATTGACACAGTGTTCAACTTAATACTCTCATCAGTATGATAAATTTTCTGAGTAGTAGCAAGACAGTAAGGATTAGTGAAAGAGATTATCTTTTAATGCCTGAACTACCATTTTTTTGGAAAGAGTTAATTCTGGAAGAGCGAAGGCATGGAATATTAAAATTCAGTCTTCCTTGATAAAGACATTCATATATAGAGAGGATAACTTCTCCTAAGGAGCTGTCCACATTTAAAATTCTAAAAATAGGAGTAGCAGTTGTGGATAGTGCCCTGGTTTTGCACTTCATTTCCTTTTGTTGAATTCCGTATTGTTATGGGGTCAGGGGAGGATAGAGAGGGCACTGTAGAATTGGTCCTAAAATGTCACCAACATACTGAAACCAGAAATATACTTCTATGTTACGATCTTCCTCTACTGTGAATATTTGTTTTCCACATAAACGCAAAATGAATGCTAAGTAGTCAGCTGTAGCATTCTCACCACAAAGGCACTTTTGATGACAAATTGAGGTCGACTGAATGACCCTCTATATGTTAAAGTTATAGGTGACAGCTGTTAGAATTAGCATGCGAGGTATAAGCAATAAATGGGAGATATATAAGGGCAAAGCAGTTTCCGAGATAGAACTTAAACTATTAAAATCAATAATTTTAAATTAGCTAGTAATTTTTTTTAAAAATCTATCTTTTTTTGGAGGGAGAGGATGGTGGAAGATGGGCACCTGGCTGTACTCACGGCTTACTCTTGACTCTGCACACAGTGGTCTCTCTGACAGTGCTCATATAGGGTGGTGCCTGGAATAGAACCTGATTTGACCGCATGCAAAGCAAATGCCTTATTGTGATGCTTAGGCGTGTTTTTTTTTCTTTTTTTTCTTTGAATCATCATGAGATACACAGTTACAAAGATTTCATCTCTCATGATTGGGTTTTAGTCATATAATGTTCCAACACTCATCCCTCCACCAGTGTATATTTCCCACCACTAATGTCACCAGTAGCCCTTCCCTGGTCCCCCAGCACCTACCTCTATGGCAGAAACTTTTCCTCTTACTTTCATTCTATTTTGGGACGTTACGGTTTGCAATACAGCTACTGAGAGGTCATCATGACCAAGGGTCACATCTCACATCCTGAGTGATACCTCCATCCATCATTGTTATAGTGATCTCTTCTATTTCCCAACCTCTCCACCAGCACTTGAGGCAGGCTTCCAACCATAGACTAGAAATTGAGCTACCATATGATCCTGCAATACCACTTCTGAAGATAAATCCCGGGGGTGCCAAATGAAAAGCACAGCAAAATGATGTCTGCACTTGTTATGCTCATTGCAACACTGGTCACAATAGCCAGAACCTGGAATGCCAGAGAACAGATGACTAGCTAAAGAAACTATGGTACATCTACACCATGGAATACTATGCAGCTGTTAGAAAAAAAATGAAGTTCATGAAATTCGCTTATAAATGGATGGATATGAAGAATATCATGCTAAGTGAAATGAATCAGAAGGAGAAGGACAGATGCAGCATGACTATACTCATTTCTGAAATATAAAATATCATAGTAGGAGACAACATCCAAGGACAGTAGAAACAATGACAAGGAGGATTTGTTGGGAGAAAAGTTCCCTCTGATCTGCTTTGAGATGCCACCTCACTCCCTGGGCTCGGCCAGGGTAGATGCTCCCAGAACATTTAGAAGCAATGTATATATACGAACACAGGTCAATGATGCCACGAGAAAAGACCCTGGGGCAGGATGTGTGCAGCAGATGTGCAGGTGACAGCCTATCCATTATGATCAAAGAAAGACTATAACCCTATCTATACAACTATAATGATGCAATATAACCCTATCTATAGAACTAAAATGAAACAATGTAATCCTATCTATAGAACTGAGATAAAACAGATTTTTGTTCTAACTACGTAACTACCTGACTAACTGTAAATATTCAAGCCTATACAAACCTTGCTGTTGCTCAGTAAATCAGAACCACTTGACCAGACCCCCACTGTGCTCCTGTGCTTATTTTTCATTTCTCAGTTGGTGTGGAGGCAGTGGCATGGGACTGCTCTTTTTCTTCAGACCCCTCTCTCTGCAGAAGGGATGATCGACCCTGTCCTTAGGATTCTGAGCAGCGGCCCTTTGCTGGACAAGGGAACGTTCTGAACAGAGCCCAGGAGAAGGCCCCAATAAGGACTGATCCTCAGTCATGCTTTTTAATCAGCTCTTTTACCTGCACACTAACCCATACACGTATGTGTGAAAGGGACGTATAGTAGTATTTTATTTTTACTTTTCTGATTAAAATTAATGTTTTTGTGGGCCACACAAATACATACACATATGTGTGAGAGGCACAAATTAACAAAAACTTTATTTTACTTTTCTGAATTAAAAAAATCTATTTTAAACACTGAATCTGTTTATTTTTCAATATAAAACATTTTTAAGACTTTATCTCACCTGTCTCAATTATTAAAAACTATGCCCAAACAGGTTCTATAATAAAACATTAAGTTGCATATCTATGGAGGGAGGAGAAACCATCCAGTAGTTCTCGGGCCTTATAGTTTATTTGGTCCTGGTGATATGGCGTAGATCACAGTGCTTGGGAACACCAAAGTTACACAATATAGGCGAACACACAGTATCAGGAATGAAATTCAGGCCCTTGAATTAAGGGTCTTTGTATAGAAGACATGTGCTGTAGCTCATTGAGCTATCTGCAAAGCCCTAAATTAAAATCTATTACAGAAAAATTAGTAAGTCCTATTTAAGCTACAGGATCATCCTATTAACCTCCGTATGACTTTAATCCACTAGTAAGATCCTAGTAATTTTCATTAGCTGCAATAGTTCCCTCTGTACTATTTTAGATGTTACATATTAAAAAGTCAAAAACACGTATTAATATTTTGTTGGATTAAAATTGTTTAGATGGTATCTCATTGTGGTTTTGATCTGCATCTCCCTGATGATTAATGATGTAGAGCATTTTCTCATGTGCTTTTTTGCCATTCGGATTTCTTCTTTGAGAAAGTTTCTGTTCATTTCATTGCCCCATTTTTGGATGGGGTTGGATGTTTTCTTCTTGTGGAGTTTAACCAGTATTTTGTATATCCTGGATATCAACCCCTTGTCAGATGTGTATTCGGTGAATATCCTTTCCCATTCTGTAGACTGTCTTTGTATTTTGGTCACTGTTTCTTTGGAGGTGCAGAAGCTTCTTAGTTTAAGATAGTCCCATTTGTCTATCTCTGTTTTCACTTGCTTGGCCAGTGGCGTGGCATCTTTGAAGATACCATTAGCTTCAATGTCATGGAGGGTTTTGCCAACTTTATCTTCAATGTACCTTATGGTTTCTGGTCTGATGTTGAGGTCTTTAAT